TTTCATTCATATAATGCTATGATAAGCCTTCACCAGAACCTCAAAACAATAATATAAGCATCTGTTCCATAGTGAGTTCCAGGTCAGTCTCAACTACATAGTGAGACCCTGTCTCAAAAACACAAAACAAAACAAAACAAAAAAGACCTCTAGAAATTCCATTTGACCCACTGTTCTCCTTCGAGGTATATCTTCCTGAAAGAGTTAAAGACATCGTGTTACAATGATCCATACATATCCATGTTCGCAGCAGCACAACTCATAATAACTAAACTTTGGAAGCAACCTACCCAGCTACACCGAGATGAATGGATAAAGAAAATGTCACATCTATACACCATGGAGTACTACTATGTGGTAAAGAAAGATAAACTTGAGTCATTTGTAAGAAAACAGAGGCAACTTGAGACTGCAATGTTAAGTGCAATAAATTAGACATACTGGTTTAGATAGCACATGGTTTCTTTTATAGGAGAAAGCAAACATATAAATAAAGAGCAGCAACAAAAGGTAGATAACAGAAAGTAGAGAGAGAATCTTTCACAAAGGAGAAAGGGATGAAAGAATGGGGGGAAAGGGAATAAACAAAGGAATTAAGATGTGTAACGGACCTGTACCAATTCCACACTGTACCCTATGAAGGTGAACAAACAAAGAAAATGATCTTACAAAGCTCTTCCTACAAGGGAAAGCTGCAGGCCACAGATTCGCTGCTGAACTTATCAGAACTAACATCAACAGGGCTCCAAATGTCCCTTAAATCAAAAGAGAAGGAACACTGCCCAACCCATTCCTTGAAGCCAGCGTTACCTTGATACCCAAACCAAAGACTCTACGAAAGAAAGAAAGAAAGAAAGCTAGCTAGCTACAGGCCAATACCTTCAATAAACTTAGATGCAAATAACCTCAACAGGATACTTGAGAACATAATGCAATGAATATTAAAAAGATTATACATCATGACCAAGGTAACTTCATGCCGGGGTGCAAGGCTGGTTCCATATATTGTAGAAGATCCACTCGGAATGTTGGCATCTGAGGTAAATAAGTACTTCTCAGAAGAAAAATGGCCCGTAAGTGCATACTTAAAAAAAAAAAAAAAAAAAAAATCTTTGGCCATAAGAGAAATTCAAATCAAAATAACAACGAGATTCTCTCTGGCCGCAGTAAGGATGGCTATCATCAAAATTTCAAAGACGGTAAGTGCTGGTGAGGAATAAGGGGAAAGGAAACCTTTCTAGACTGTCATGGGAATGTGAAAATCAGTTTAGCTCTTCCTCAAAAGCTAGCAATGGAAATTTCGTGCTGTCCCTCTCCTGCCCTAAAGAGTTAAAGACACCATGTTACAGTGATACATACTCATTCGTGTTTATAACAGCACAAGTGGCCTAGGTGCCCATCGACATATGAATGGATAACATGATACACACACAGACACACACACCTATATGTGCAATGGAGTACTATTCAGCCATAAAGAAGGGTAAACTTCAGTCATTTGTAGAAAAAGAGATGGATCTTGGGAAGACCATGCTAACCGAAATAAGTCCCAGGTTGATAATGGTGTCTCTTACATGGGAAAACCTAAATAGAAATAATTAAAAGATCAAAGTATAGCAGAGACGATAGCAAACAGAGATAGACCTTTTGGAGGTGTCACAGACATAGAATGGTAAAAATATTTTACAGGCTCGTGTGTTCATCCCGGTGGGAGGTGTCCACAAACACCCAAGTGGTCAGCCTGGTCGCGGTACCTGTGCAGGCGAAGGGTCCCGGCCTTCCCGGCCTCCAGTTGTCTCCAGTGGGAGAAGAGAAACCGGGGAGGCAGCTGCAGCTGTACCTCCCGGGCAGGTTCCTGCAGACGGAGTGAGGCCCGCAGGGCGCGGGGCTCTGGGAGCACTCGTTCACATCTGGGCACAGAGAGGGAGGGAAGGGAAACGCTGGCCCAGGAAGGATGGCTATCATCAAAATGTCGAAGACAGTAAGTGTTGGCCCCGCGGCAGAGCAGGAATCTTTGGCCCCTTTTCCAGCGCGGCTGGGGCCTGCGCTCCTCCTCCTCCCCCTGGATCTGACGCGCTGTGTCTGGGCAGCTGGGGGGCCCGGTTGGAAGGCAGCGTGCGCCCCCACCCTGCTCTCTGCAGAGGCTCAGTCGGGAGCCACAGCCTCTGCACAGGGAGCCATCCTGGACCTTTATGGCCACCAGGCACCAGAAAGAGACGGGAGGAGCGGTGGGGGAGGGGAGGGGACGGGAGTCCCTTTGGGGTGCCTTGGGGGGAGGGGCGCCCCCCCGTGGGGGCCAGGGCCTGGGTCCCCC